CCCCGCGCAGCCCGCGCCAGCAGGGCCCCCCACGCTCAAGGGCGCGCGGGCCCCGAGAGGGAGGAGGCCGCGCGTGGCACCAGCGAGGGCCGGCTCTCGCCTGCCGTCCCCACTCCTTCACCGCTCGCCCCCAACCCCGCCAACCCGCTCCAGGCCTCGGACTCCGCACTGACCTGACAGGCCGAGACATGTTCGCTGTCGAAACAGGACCGAGTCGAGAAGCCAAAGACCAGGACCCCCCCCTCCCCGCGCGCTCGGCGCCCCACCCCCCCCAACTTCGGCCGATGAGGCCGCTGCCGCCGAGCCCCGAGCTGCCGGCTTCTCAAACTCCGCCGCTCCTTCGTTCAGGGCCCCTTAATCAGACGAGCCCCCCGCTCCCCCGTCTCTTCAAAATGGATGAATCAAACCAGCCGAAAATGCGCCAAAGCCGCGGTGCAACCAAACACACTAGGGCCTGTGGGCCCCGCCCCAACACGCCGGGTCATTGGCGGCTTCTGCCAGATGCGCCGAGCTCGTTAGTCCGTTTGAATCATCACGTTTCCCAGGCCCCGCCCTGCTCTCCCATAGGCCCCGCCTCCTCCGTGGGGCCCTATTAGTCAAGATGCTCTGAGAGCGCACGGCCGCAAAACAAAAATGGTCGCTGCTCGGCCCGCCCCCTGCTTTCCACTCCAGAGTTGCAGATTCGTCATGGGTCACATTTTGGAACGACTAGAAAAAAAGATTTATATAGAGTTCAGTGTCATTTAGTGTTAGTTTAATGATGTTTTATTTCGCCTGCCTTGATCATCTAGAAACTCCACCAATAGCAAAACCTGTGGGATAGGCAGCTGATTCGTCACTAGGGGGCTGCTGCAGAATTGGAGGGAAATTCCATAGGTTCAAAAAATTTGGCCTTAAACCTACAAACCCCTTACCCTGGCTTCAGCATTAGCCCTCAGGAGCCCTACTGCTGCTGGAGCAGAGAGGCAGGATCATAATCAAGGAACAACTTTACTCCCCCATTCTGGACCTTGAGATTCACTTCAGGGTCGTTCAAGTCCCAGTCTCAGACATTACTTTGGGGGCCTAAGGATTAGGAGCATGAGCTCTGGGGCCACGTGGTGTTTCAGTTTGAACCTCAGGTCCAACACTTCACAGTTGTATCACTTTACCTCTCTGTGCCTCAGTTTTCTCCTGTGTAAAATGGAGAACAATAGTACTTACCTCATTGGGTTATTCGGATTAAATAAGTTGATATATGAAAAGCCTTTAAGACGGTCTCTGGCACACAGGAAGCACTATGTAAGTATTTGTTAAATTCAATTTTTAAAAGATGCCCTGATCTCTAGTACAGGTGGGTGGGGCTGGCTCAAAACTCAAGTAAAATAACTTAGGGTTTCTCAGATCATTTTATTTAAACCCATGAACATTTGTGGGATGCCTAAAACTCTCAAAGGCAGAGCTCACATCTCTATGAGAACGGCTAAGGTTCACCCCACCATTGTAAAATAGACTTCAATCTCTGCCACAGGCAGCCTGTTACTAACCAACTGACGATTCGCTCCATAAACATACAAACAACCCCACCACTGTCTGCCTTCAGAAAGTCTCCAGTTGTAAAATCTGGCTTCTCTAAGGGAAGAGAATAGTGCAGTCCACCAGTGAAGCATTAAACAAGTTACCTTCTGCCTCTTCCATGTCACTCCCCCTTTCTCCCCTGCACTTTTTTTCTTTTATTTTTGTAGTAAAAAAATGCATAAGATAAAATTCACCACTTTAACCATTTTTAAGTGTATAGTTCGGTGGTATTTGATACATTCACATTGTTGTGCAACCATCACCACCATCCATTTCTAGAACTTTGTCATCTTCCCCAACTGAAACTCTGTACACGTTAAACACTAATTTCCCATTCCCTCTCTCTCTCCAGCCTCTGGCACCCACCATTCTACTTTACGTTTTTACAAATTTGACTACTCTAGGAACTTCATATAAGTAGAATCATACAGTGTTTGTCCTTTTGTGATTGGCTTATTTCACTTAGCATAATGTCTTCTAGATTCATTCATGTTGTAGCAGATATCAAAATTTTCTACCTTTTAAAGGCTGAATAATATTTCATTGTATGTATACACCATATTTTGTTAACTCATCCAACTGTCAGTGGACACTTGGGTTGCTTCCGCATTTTGGCTATTGTGAATAATGCTGCTACGAACATGGGTGTACAAATATCTCTTCAAGCCCCTGCTTTCAGTACTTTGCGGTGTATACCCAGAAGTGGAATTACTAGATCATATGGTAATTCTATTTTTAATTTTTTGAGGACTCTCCATACTATTTTCCACAGCAGCTGCACCATTTTACATTCCTACCAACAGTGCACAAGGGTTCCAGTTTCTCCACATCCTTGCCAAACTTATTTTAGTTTTTTGATAGTAGCCATCTTAATGGGTGTCTGAATATGTTTTGTTTGTTTTTTTGGTGAGGAAGATTAGCTCTGAGCTAACATCTGTTGCTAATCCTCCTCTTTTTGCTGAGGAAGACTGGTATTGAGCTAACACTTGTGCCCATCTTCCTCTTTTATGTGGGATGCCTGCCACAGCATGGCTTGACAAGTGGTGTGCAGGTCCACACCCGGGATCCGAACCTGCAAACCCCGGGCCACCAAAGCGGAGTGTGTGGAGCATGCGAACCCAACCACTACACTACTGGGCCAGGCCCCCCCTGAATATGTTCTCACTAAGTGTATTGTCATTCATATTATTGTCAAAATACCATTGCGGAGACTGGGGTGCTGCAGTGACCATGGATGACTCTGTTGGAGGCTGTCTTATTAGGGCAGATTGATATCATTTTACCGAATACCATTATTTGGTATTGTGATATGAGGCAGAGGAATTCTCATTGTTCATTTATTAGGGAATGAAAGGAACTGAACATAGTCAACGTGTCCAGGCAGGTGTCTGGGAAACGTGTCCAGGAAAGTTCAGAATAGGTCTTACAGGCCTTGGCCTTATAGTTTAGTTTAAGGCCGATATACAGATGGCCGCTGAATGAAGGCCTTTCTTCTTCCAAGGTGAGGATCATACCCTGCCTCTCTCCTCACCTCAGCTTCAGCTAACATCTTCCTTCCACTTGCTTGTTTATTCACTCAGTATTTCAACAAACACTGTCTCTTAGGAAGGAAGGAACTTAGTCTTGAACTTCTAGTTTGCTTTTCAGTGGACAAATACAGAATTATGCCTTCAAGAGCCCTAGCACTGTCTCCCTGGCTGCCAAGACAACCTGGAATGCAGCCTCCAAGGTAGTCCCCTCTAGCCCATCCCCAGACTGTCTGCCCTGGGCACCTGTCTCAACCACAGCCAGTTTGTTGGAAACTGAAGAAAAACACTGATCATATGATAGGTTAGATTTCAGAAGCACCGTCGGATAACCCTGAAGGGACAATATACGTAATAAAACTATGGAAAACGATGAAAACAAAAAAGGCTCAGGATATAGAAAAGAGAGATAGTCCTTCTCCCTGGAAATGAGGTTTAATGGCCTTTTAAACCCAATGCTTCATTTCCTCTATGATTTAAGTTATATTTTGAGAAGTAGCCTTTTCCTTCTCCCCTGCCTTTGTTCAAGACAATAAGAAGTGGCAGTGCTGAGGTGGCAGGACTGATGACTTAAATATTTCTAATAAAGACCCATTTCCTTCAAGGCTATGCTGTAGTAGCTGGGAGCTTTATAAAAATTGTTGAGTACTTTGTGCTGGGCACTTCTAGTTCTGTGACCTCATGAAAGTCAGCCAACCAGGTCTAAAGACACACACTGCTTCTACAGACCACAGGGGCAGAGACAGGTACCTGTCTTTAAAGACCCTGCTAGGAAGTTCAAGAAAGCTAATCCCAGGCTTTTCTTTTCTTTTTTTTCACTTCCACCACACTCATAAGAAAGCATGGGACAGGCTGGCCTGCTGGCTTAGCGGTTAAGTGTGCGCGCTCCGCTGCTGGCGGCCCGGGGTTCGGATCCTGGGCGTGCACCGACGCACCGCTTCTCCCGCCATGCTGAGGCCACGTCCCACATACAGCAACTAGAAGGATGTGCAACTGTGACATACAACTATCTACTGGGGCTTTGGGGAGAAAAAGGGAAAAAAAAAAAAAGGAGAGGGAGGAGGATTGGCAATAGATGTTAGCTCAGGGCCGCTCTTCCTCGGCAAAAAGAGGAGGATTGGCATGGATGTTAGCTCAGGGCTGACCTTCCTCACAAAAAAATAAATAAATAAAAGGGCCGGCCCTGTGGCTTAGCGGTTAAGTGCGCGCGCTCCGCTGCTGGCGACCCAGGTTTGGATCCCCGGCGTGCACCGATGCGCCGCTTCTCCGGCCATGCTGTGGCCGAGTCCCACATACAGCAACTAGAAGGATGTGCAGCTATGACATACAACTATCCACTGGGGCTTTGGGGGGAAAAAAAATAAATTAATTAAAAGAAAAAAAAAGAAAGCATGGGACAGAAGAGCTGTATGTCTGGTTAGTCTTTCTGCAACCCCAGAGGCTGAGTAGCCTGCTTGCAGATAGGTTCATGGTTAAGGAGGATGCTCCCTTGCCCTTAGGTCACAGCCAGAAAAACGCTGGGCCAAAGTCAACTTAAACTTTTAAATTCATTTTCTCAAGTGTATATTTCGTCTGCTCCAGACTTCCATCTTCCTCTCTACTTTTAAGAATATTAAGAGCTAAGTTTAGGTGGATTTCTGTTACCAAAACAAAAAAGACGTACAATTTGACATTCAGTTTGAATTGAAGAAAAAAACCCCAAAAAGACTAACACTTGCTGTTTTGCTCGACACCAATAAAATCCATAGAAATCTTGCCCTTGTAACATTGAAAGAGACACAGCCTTATCCATCTAAACCACTGACAAATATTGTAAAGTGAACATTGCTGAAAGAGGAGGCGCCAAGGTACAACCAGAAGAGCACTGAACTTGTAACCAAGAATATCCGCCTTTGGGCACAGTGATGTGCTACCTATGTGACCTGGAGCAACTTTCAAACTCCTGCGTCTCAGATCCTTCATCTGTAAAATGGGCATGATTATATTGGTCCTTAACTACATCACAAGGTTGGCATAACAACAAGAAAATAACGGGCTCACATGTGAAAGTAGGTGTACACTGTGAAGCACTGTGGGAGGTAGAATGAGATTACACTGGCTTCACTGAAGGAAAAACCCAAAAATGCAACAGCAAAACAATCTTTGAGCCCTGGGAACAGAGTTAAGAAAGACTGCCCACAGCTTACGGATGGAGAAAAGGTGACAGTGAGAAGTGGTGACAGTTATGTTTCAGTACTGTGAATGTTCAAGGTGTTGTCACTCTTTCTCCATAATCTCCTAACCATTCCTAGGAGAACTGATCTATTCCAACCATGACCAGTATGCGCATGATTCCACCAACTACTGCCAGCCTCTCCGCCTCTCTCTGAGTTCC